TCCAATCTATTGTCCACATGGCAGCCAGAGATATCTTTTGAAAACACATGTATCAATATATTATTTCTTAAAACTATTCAGTAAATCTCATTTTCCTGTGGATAAAGTCTGAATAATTAATTAATTAGCAGATGGAGATTATATTGGTCCTGGAAAGTAATCTATGTAAGACTGTAAACTCCCCTAGGATAAGACCGTTTTAGTCACTGTTGTAACTATATTACCTGGTGTTGTGCCTTGCCCATAGTAAGTACTCAATAAATACTTGTTGACTGACTCAATCAGTTCATTCTGGTAGCCATACTTTATATACTTAGGGTATCAGGTGTTTTTAAATAACAAAAATAAATTATCCTACAATTACTCTGCAAATAGGTTCAGTTTTTTTTTAGTGTTTTTTGCCCCTGGTAAATCCCCACTAGATGAGTTTGCACTGAAATTAATGACAATTCAGTCTCTTATTCCAGCTTGTGTACTATCATAGTTGACCTGATTTTCATATACAATCTTTATTTAAAAAAAACAAAACCTGCTTCTACATTACCATTAATATTGAATATATCTTGCTTGCTTATCCTCTTCCAATCTGATATGTTCGAAGAAGCCAAAAACTAGAAAATTGTTTTCAAAGAAAATACACAAAAATCTTCATCTTATTTCTATTTCCTTTTTAATTTCTGAGGTTTATTTTTAAGTATAAACTCCGGCAAATATGTCTCAACATGTCATTGAATAACATATTGATATTCTAACCTTACTTCTGACCAAAGTAATATTTTTATCTTTCTATCAAAAGTGACAGTATAAAGTGGGAATTTGTAATTTTATTTATCCTTTTCTAAACCTTCAAGTTAAAAAATAAATAAGACTAAAAAAGACCTTTATTTAAATGGCCAATGATGATGAAAACATAAAGCATAAATACCTCTAGAGAGTTGATTTTCCTCAAAGCAATAGTATTGATATTACATCATGCCTTCTCTCATTTACATCATCTAACTTAGAAGAGTTCAAATCCTAGCTTTGCATGTAACTGTTGTGTTACCTTGGGCAAATTAATTATCATCACCAATACTCTGTTCCCTTATCTACAAAATGGAATCATCTAATACCTCCCTTCGAGGGTTGTTGTAATATAAGAAAATATTGGTAAAGTACATGGTATATAGCAAACACTAGTTAAATGTTAAATGTTAAGTTATTTGCCTGTCATCTCATTGCCATATCATTAATAGTAAAAGAAAATGTCAGTTCTCTGCACCAAAAAGAAAAAACAGTAGAAAAGGAAGTAATACCCCAACCCCCACCCCCCCAAAAAACCACTGCCTTCCAGTCAATTCAGACTCATAGTGACCCTATTGCAAGGCAAGCACTGTGTAAAGTGTTGAAACAGTTATACCACAGAACATGAACCAAATATCACAAACATGAACCAAAAATTACAGGCAGTCCCTGGGTTACGAATGAGATCTGTTCCTAAGTCTATCTTTAAGAATTTGTAGGTAAGTCAGAACAGGTACACATGGTTCTTATTTAGCCTTACTTTAGTGCAAGAAATGACTCGAAGCCTTTTCAATGATTTAAAAGCTGCATGTGCAAGAAGTGAAGGTGATCCTGATGAATCCACCATTTCAAAGTGAGGGAAAATTTACATAACATTAAAGGGCAAGTATGAGTTGTCAGGATGTTCGCAACCCAGGGACTTACTGTATTTAACTTGTATTTAGTGTTATCTATTGTCACAGCTTCCTTTCTTGATATTTTATATCATCCCTTTACAGCTGATCTTAGACAGTTATTCCTGAAATAGTGGTTTGATAATACTGAGTAGAATTCACCAGTGGTCCCTAATGCCTTGAGACTACGTTCTAGCTCTTTACAATGAATTCAGTATCTCCAGAGTTTAGTCCCAGTGTACTTTTTAAGGGAACACGCGCCAAGTATTTTTTGAGTGCCTATTATGGACTAGACATTGTTGTATACATTGTATTTTATTTAATCCTTACATTTCAGGTTTTGAAAAGTAAGGATTATAGAGGTTCAGTAATTTAGCTACGATTACACTGATAGTAAATGGTAGTGTCAAATTCAAGCACAGCCTATCACAGTAGTTCTCAAACTTTACCATCGATCAGACTCAACTAAAGAGCTTGTAAAGACACAGATTTCTGGATCCCTCCTCCAGATTTTCTGATGTTCAGTAGATCAGCATCAAAAAGTAGGGCATAGGATACTGGGGAGGGAGATGCAAGATTTTGCATTTCTAAAAAGTTCCCAAGTGATACATATGTTGCTGATCCAGGGACCACAGTTCAAAAACTAGTAATGTATCAGACTCCAGCATCTTTCCACTGGTACTTCTTATCTCACATCACTCTATAAATACAGTGTGTTCTTGCCAATTGAAAGGCTTAAGATACCCAGAATGCCCTTGGGGCTTTTCTTTTCTCTGTGCTTCTGCATTGTTTTTTACCTTCCACCTAAACTGCCTTCTTTTTCTTGCCTTTCCTACCACCCTTTCTTACCTGTTGTAATATCTTCCTTCATAACAAAACTCAAATGCAACTTTTCCCATGAAGTCTTACCTTAAACCCTCAGCTAGAAGTGTACTGCTTTAATTTTGAATTCATGGTACTTTGTATCCATTTATTTCAGTACTTACTATCTTCTATCGTAGTTATTTGTTTATATGCTTTAATGTTTTGTATTTTAAACTCTTAAAGATTGGGTTATATTTCTTCCATAATACTTAGTGCATACTTTTGGTTATTTAATAAATACTGGAATATGCTAAGATTTTGGTGCTTATACTTTTACAAATTGTTAAATGAGGTTGTCTTTGTGAAAATACTTTATTAACCATAAAGGCTTATATAAAGTTAAAGTACTTTCTTCTTACAGTGACTCTGGATATTAACAGTTTTATAAATGAAATATGTAAACGCTTCAAAAAGACCAGGGAATTTACAAAGAATAAAAAATGTCAAATCTATTTTTTCATAAAATACAAGACTAAAGACATTGAGCAGAAATAACAGATACAATCTCTCTTGTCTATATAGCAAAGACTTTCATTACATGTTTCTTTTTCTTTCTCTTTGTCTCTCATATACAGAAGTAATGGCCTACATATAATAAGTCTTATTAAGCACAAAACTGACTGAAGTGTATACCCATAGCCTTATTAGTAATGCTATTAAGATCAACTTAGATCAGATTAAGTATTTTTGAAGACATGGCAGGCCTGTGCTTGATGACCAAAGAGTTGAAATAAAAAGAATTAACTAAGCTTTCATTTGCCACCAACTTTGTGGTGGAGGGAGTTACAACTTTCTTGGAAAATAGATTTCAAAGTCTGTAATACTTGATAAAATATTGTTTAGAAACATTGACAGTAAGGATAAGCACATGGCCATTATACATAGAAAAGGAAACTAAACACAAGATGAGATGAACTTTCTGTGTAAACAATACAAAGATTTCAGAGACATGTATCAGTTAAATTCTCTGTACCTCAAGGTCTTTTTCCATATTATGCAAATAACTGTATTTTCTTCTCCATGACAGAAATATTGGGATCATAACATGCAATAATTGTTATGGAAATATTTCTAATTCTTAAGGGAAAAGGTGCTGCAGACTTCTTGAGGTAGTTCACGCTGTATCCTATGAGAGAGCATTATACTCTAACTTAAAATTCTAGATTTATTTAATAAATTACTAGGTTTGTCGCATGAAATGAGGGGATCTTAAAATTGATGATATTCCAATCATATTGTTGATGATAGTACAGTCAGTTAGCTATCAAATTGACAAAAAGCTACAATGTCCTATTTTAGTTGAGAAAAAGGTAAAATTTCTAGTAAATAGGAATACATTAAGGACTATATAATTACTCAGTACCATTCTGGCCTTCATTAAAGTACTTTCCAATTCTGACTGCCAGAACGAAAAATTTTGAAAAAAAATCACGAAGATTAAAGGTTAAAAAATAGCCTTCAAATTTTTTATTGAACTATGAAGATGAAGGAAGAAGACTAAAGGGTGATTTGTAACCATTTTCAAGAATATGGAAAGTTTTAAGTAACATTGTTAACAACTTTTCTCTTTCAAATTATAAACAGGACCAGGAAAAAAAAACAATATAATAGAAGATAATTGTAGGTTATTTCAGAGAGGGAGAGTAGTTGAAGAATAAACTTGACTGTAAGAAGAGGTTTTTGGAAAAAACATTCACACATGACTTTAAAAATCTTAGTTCTAAAAATTTAGAAATAGACTAATCTAGCCTGATCACTTTGTTTTTTAAATGATGAAAATGAGGTACATGACGATCAAAGTACACAGCCAGTTAATGACAGAGCATGATTATTCCAACTTTCATATGAAAATCCAGGCCCTCAGCTCTTCAATGTAGTCTTCCAGTGCTTTTATACTTCTTTATGTACTTTAGACAAGTTTCTTATTTAACAGATTCATTTTAATGTGGCCTGAAAATTGACAATGATCTCTGAAAGACCCTTTAGCTTAAATGATCTGTGATTATCGATGTCTGTTAATAATTTAGCTTTCCAGTCTCACTCCACTGACAATCAAACATTTAGATTTCCTGAGAAGAAAGAGCTCAAATTCCAGTCTCAACTCTTGATCGCCTTATGTGTTAGGCTTTTGAACATAAATATTACTACTCTTATGCACTATCTCATTGAAATGTTACAACTCTGAGATATGAAGAAGCTGAAGAGAAAGAAGGTAAATTTAGCCAAATAGCTTGCAAGTGAATAATTTATTCTGATTCCACATTCAGTGCATTTTCCAAAACACCACACTTAACCATTATTGTAAAAACCTCAGCCAGAGTGCCCAATTGTATAGCAATAATATTATTCCTAAAACAGTTGTTCACATGTAAAGTACAATGATTGATTTTTGTTGTTGAATGTATTTAAACAGAACATTTCTTACAATGTGGTTTTTATCCACTTTCTCTTTCCTTTCAGGCCTGTATGTGGAATCAGAGGGAAAACTCTCATAATTAACCTACCAGGTAGCAAGAAAGGATCTCAGGTAAGCAACCTTGAGATTTACACAATTTAGCATAAAGACTTAGCCCATTACAAAGTTGAAACAGTCCACAAAACTGCCCTCACTTCTGATACCAATTACAAGTTCGGGAGGTTCTCAAAACCACCCTCAGGTTTCATAATTCACTAGAAGGACTGACAGAACTCACTGAAAGCTATTATATTTATGGTTATGGTTAATTACAGAGAAAGGATACAGATTAATATTAGCTAAGGGAAGAAGCACATAGGGCAGAGACCAGGAGAGATACCGAACACAAAGCTTCCGTTGTCCTCTCCCTGTAGAGTCCTGGACATGCTAATCTTCTGATACTGATCTGTGGCAGTATGCACAGAGTATTGCCAACCAGAGAAGCTCACTCAAGCCTTTGGTGTCTGGAGTTTCTGTTATGGCTTAATTACATACTGCCCACATGGGTGACCTTTAGTTTCCAGCCCCTCCCTGAGGTTGGGCTAATACCTTTAGTGGCTAGTCCGTTCCAGAGGCAAAACTGATATTGCATGACCCAGAGCCGCATAATAAATCTCAGACTGTTAGATTGTCTGGTGGCCAAAGCCTCCAGGCAAACAAAGACTCCTATCAGGCATGACACTCGGAAGGCCTAGAGATCACCTCCTAGTACCTGAGGGCAAGGACCAGACCTCTCTTTGGGTGTAGTTAATTCTTCACATCCTTCACTATGGCTTATTCGTTTTAATTCGTTGCTCTTGGTTTCCTTGATAGCAAGACCTGACTGTACTCCTATTAGAAAGTAATTTAACACAGAGATCTAAAAATAACATAAGATCGTGTTTTTAAGTCTTTATACCTGTGTTTGGTTGATTATGCTGTAAAATAATTTTAAAGGTGAAATGCAATTTCTACTATTTATGATTATTTACTTTTTTGAAATTTACTTGGGAAAGTGTGCTGGTGATTAGGAAGGCTTGTTTACTGCTAATACCCTTCTAGTTATAATGTTTATATTCAAAAGCATACCTCAACAGGTTTATACTTTTCCAAATGCTGTTGACATTTTAAATTTCTTCTTAACTGTTAGGTTAAATGTAATTTAAAGAAAGTTTTAAGACATATTTTTAATTCCAATTTTTATTTTGTTGATAAATATAGATTACTAATTCAAAATACAATTTACTCTTTCAATGTTATTTTTTGTTAAGAAAGTTCCAAATGAGAAAAAAATTCTCAAATTAAGAACCAACTTTTTCAGTTTTTCTGATAAGAAAACACACATTAATTAGAAAATACTGAAATATATATATCAATATCAATCACAGAAATGACTTTTTAAAATTTTTTCAAATCATTTCCTTAACATTTTCACAGTAATAATATGAGATCATTAATTCCCTGATTTCCAAAATGATATTAATTGTTTCAAATCATTTCCTTAACATTTTTGCAGTAATAATATTAGTATGATATCCTTAATTCCCTGATGCCCAAAATGATATTGTTCTGAGCTCTGTGCAGAAACAGGCATCTAATGTTTTTTAGTTGGTTGGTTGTTTTGTTTTAGATGATTAGACACAAAAAAAATGTAATTTTGAACCATTCTTTTAAGAATAGAGCTATGGAGCTATGATTGTTAGACAGGGTTTTATCTAATTTATTCTGTCATGAGCAATCTATGTTTATTTTTCTGGGCCCCAGAGAATGGGATTTATATGAAAGATATACTACAGAAGGAAGATTCAATCAAAATAATTCAACTTCCTGCTCATTATAATGAAAACTGGACCAGGATCTCACCTTTTTTCATATCTAGAATTCACTTCATACTTGACTAACTCAATAGGAATGAAAAGATAGTGGTCTCATTCATTTAGTTATAGAAGTATCAATTTAAATTTTCTCATGGAATAGCCTTTGTATATGTGGGGAAACTTTACTGTTTAAAAATCATTTAATTTAGAAAATAAAAAGAAATTAATGACCAAAAATTAAATCATAAAATATGTATAATAATAAATCCTGATCCTTTTTTTGCATATTTAATTGCCAGTCCCTCTGGAACTCTGCTTAAGAGAACTCAAGGCATGAGGACCAACAAAAAGAACATCTTTTAGGCCTTTGGAACATACTACATTCTATAGGGTTGCTAGGAGTCAGAAATCAATTCGATGATAATGGGTTTGGTTTGGTAGGTAGTTGAAAGACTGACTTTAAAAGACTTACAATAACTTTTGTTTGGCAGTTTTCATATTACTCATTATTCGTCTAACAGAATTAAACACACTTTGTTGTTTAAACTTAATTTTTTTTTTATTATAAAGAATTTTATCTATAAAAATAGGCAGATTAATATAGTGAATCCCCATGTTCTCCGTATACAGCTCCAATAACAACTAATAGCCAATTCGGCCTAATCCTTACATCTTGAAGTACATCCCAGATACCATATTACTTCATCCTGAATATTTCCTGTATATTTCTAAAAATATAGGCTTTTTGATATAACCACAACACTATCATGTATAAAAAATTACTAATAATTATTTAGTGTCATAAATATCTCTCAGTGTTCAAGTATCTCATTGTCTCAAAAATCTAAAAAAAAATTTTTTTTTTTTTTTTAATACTTTGATTGTTTGAATTGTAATCCAAGTAAAGTCCACATGTTGCTTTTAAATCTTTTTTAATCTATAGGATCCCTCTCCCTCTCTTGTTTTCCCTAGCAGTTTATTTGTTGAAGACACTGGGTTCTTTGTTCTCTACAGTTTCGCAGTCTGGATTTTACTGATTCATCCCATGGTGTAGTTTACCGTGTTCCTCACTCTCTGTAATTCTTGTGAATTAATGCTTGAACCTAGAATCTTGGTCAGATTCAGTTTTTACTTTTTTTTTTTTTTTAGCAAAGCTACTTCATTGGTAGTCATATGTTTTTCCATCAGAGAGCAAATAATGTCTGATTGGCTCTAATTTTATGATGTTATCAGCCATTGATGCTTAGTACTTTAGATCCACTTATTGATTAACACATTGCTGTCACGTTGATTCCAACTCATAGCAACTCTGTAGGACAGAGTATAGAACTACCCCATAGGGTTTCTTAGGAGCGGCTGGTGGATTCCAACTGCTGATCTTTTGGTTAGCAGCCAAACGCTTAACCACTGTGCCACCAGGGCCCCATTTATTAATTAGGGGTTGCAAAATAATGATATTTTAATTATATCATTCTTTCTTTATTAAGTTTAATATTTCCATCAATAGAAACTTCCCTCATCTCTTATTTGGTTACTATTAAGTATACAGTTTGTATTGGAAAGTTAAGGTAAATGCTTGAGCCTTTCCCTCAGTTTACTACTTTTGAAATAATTTGATGGTTCCCTAGAATCTTCCAGAGGTGACCAGTTCCTTTCTTAAGAACATCATTAACTCATAAATATAAACATATTTAATGTATTTTGTTATATTTATTTTCCATATTAATGCTCAAATTATTCCATGGTTAGCCAGATGGAACTTATTCAGGGTGGCTCCTATGTTCTTTTGACATGACCTTAGAAGCCCTTGATAGCTTCCTTTCTCTCTGGTATGACAAGATTTTTCCACAAAGCTCATCTTGTTTAGTTCCTACCTCAAGGATAAAATCAGCTATTTCTCCAAGGATCACTGGTTCTAGTAGAACATGTAGCACACACACATGCATGTATTCATTTCTTCCCCTTTCTTAAATAAACTGTAGTATACTATACCTATTATTTTCTACGTTGCTTTTTTCACTTGCCAGTATATACGTGCGATCAGTCCATGGTAGTACATAGGGATATTCTTCATTCCTTTTTAATGATGCCTAATACAACATTGTGCAAATGTACCATTATTTATTCAACCAATTCCTTGTAAATGGACATTTGGATTATTTCTAATCCTTTCTCATTACAAATAGTCCTGCATAACTTGGACATATGTATTTTTCTATATTAGTCTCTATGTCTATGAAATACATTCCTAGGAGTGAGATTACTAGGTCAAAGTGTGAATGCATGTATAATTTGCTATATGTTTCCAAATTCCCCTCCACTGGGGTTGTACTATTTTGCATTTCTTCTAGCAGTGTGTGAGAGTGCAAGTCACCAACTGCATACATTGTCAAACTTTTGGACTTTTGCTAGTCTCATAGGAGAGAAAAGGTAACTTAGTGTAGTTTTAAATTATATTTTTTCTTATTATGAGTGATGTTGAGCATCTATTCATGTTATTTAGAGCCATTCAAATTTCTTTTTCTCTAAACTGTTCTTTTCTCTAGCCCATATTCCTTTAGAAGCTCCTTATATATATTAGACATATTATCATTTTATATGTGATATGTTTCATATATTTTTCCCAGTTCTGTTATTGTGCCTTTATGCTTTGCTTACGGTAGTTTTTGCCATGCAAATGTTTTATATTTTTTTGTAGTCAAATTTATCTTTTCTCTTATTACTTTTTGATTATGAGTCATAATTAGGAAAGTTTTCCCTGCTCCCAGGTTATTGAGGAATTTTCCTATTTTCGTTTTTTTCTAGTAATTGTGGTGACATCTATCTTTGCATATTCAGGGGAGCACATTCTACAAAACCACCCTTACTTCTGACACCAACTGTGAACTTAGGGAGCAGTCCAAAAGACCACACTCATTTCTGACACCATTTGCAATTTCAGGGTCCCTAAGACCACCCTTAGGTTTGATAATTCTCTAAAAGGACTCACGGAACTCACTGAAAACTGTTACACTAGAGCTAAGGGAAGAGGCACATACGGCAGAGTCTAGGCAAGTTCCCAACACAGGAGATTTCAGTTGTCCTCTCCCTGTGGAGTCGTGGACAGTGTTGCTTTCTCAGTATTGATGTGTGACAGTACACTCAGAGTATGGCCAACCAGGGAAGCTCACCTGAGCCTTGATGTTCAGAGGTATTATTGGCACGTCATCATGTGGGCATGGTTGAATGAACGCCCACATGGCTGATCTCAGTCTCCAGCCCCTCTGGAGGTCTAACTGGTACCATGTGACGCAAAGTCCCTACCTTAAGTCACATTGTTAGACTATCCGGCATGACTCAAGGCCCCATGCAAACAGAAGCACTGCTATCAGACAATCCAAGGCTTAGACATTTCCTCCCACAAACTGGAGGCGAAAGCCAGACCTCTGTTTGGGCAAGGTTAAATTTTTAGTATACAGTCTCTTAAACAGCAAAATGATTGAGCAAAGAGAGGTCAGAAGATTAGGCATCTTCCAGGTATCCCAGTAACCCTCAAAAAATTTATATTTCTTTGCATCTTAGATTTTAAGGTAAGTTGCTTTAGATGTAAAAGTGAAAGAGTTCCGCCCACTCCTTAAGCATATCTGGCCCTGTGTTCTGTTTTTAGAGTTCTAGCCTATTCTTTTGTTGATAACACTGTATGTAATGGTGAGCTCTTGATCAGCAGACTATGTAGACTTCTGTGCAGTGCTCTGTACAAGGTTTTTTCTGTTTTTTGCATGTTACATTACTTTGCCTAGCTATACTTTATGATGTTATTCAGAACTTTACATCTCTTAATAAAATAATTTGGTCCTCGCTAGTGCCCTGCTCTAACTAAAAAGGTCAAAACTGTTTGCTACTTTTCCCTATGATCTATCTTTTAACTCCAAAGTTGTGTATAAATTTTACTTCAGTAAAATGCGGTATGTGCTTAGATAGTACTGTAGTTCCTCAGTTTATGGAGAATGCTGTAATATGTGCCATATTTACTTCATGTTGAAAATATAATGCTTTAAATATTGTTCTTTATTCTTGAGGCCAGTGCGGGGGTATGCAGATTCAAATTCACAAATAAATCTGATTGACACCATTTTATCTGCCTAGAAAAATATTCCATCTTCATTTCTTTTTTCTTCCTCTTGCACACAGGAATGCTTTCAGTTCATACTGCCAGCTCTACCTCACGCCATTGACCTTTTACGTGATGCTATTGTAAAAGTAAAGGAGGTGCATGACGAACTTGAAGATTTACCTTCCCCACCACCTCCTCTTTCCCCTCCTCCCACAACCAGTCCCCATAAACAGACAGAAGACAAAGGGGTTCAATGTGAGGAAGAAGAAGAAGAGAAGAAGGACAGTGGTGTTGCTTCAACAGAAGACAGTTCCTCATCACATATAACTGCAGCAGCCATTGCTGCCAAGGTAAGCCTGCTGAGAGAGACTCAGAGTTCTAAAGGACCCACAGGCAAATGAACTGACTGATTTCTTCCCTCTTTCCATCCTGTCCCTCCATAAGTTTAATACCTCTTTAGGTATCCTGAAAAAAGAGCTGGGATATTCTTGACAATCCACCACTATGTTCCCTCCACCATGTAAGAAGTCCTAAAGATACTGACATTTATTCTGACTTCTGAGGCATCAAAAATACTGCTGTTACCTATTGGAGTAAAAGTTGCAGTGATAAACAACGTGACATTTAAAAATTCTTTGGAGATATCATTTTTGTCATCATATTAAATATACGATGTTCATATGCTCAGAGTATCAACAATTCACAAATTCTTGGAGCAACAAACTGGAGCTAGAAGAGCTTAGATAATTCAAAAAAATGAATTGGGAAAGATTAATAAAGATTTTTTTTAAAGACAGAGCTTTCCAGCAATTGTTGAATTTTCCTTAACTAAGCACTTTTTCAAATATGACTTAAATTACCCTAGTGGTATAGAGAGCAACTGGATATAATGTATTTGCAATTTTAATGGACTAAAGTAATAGATATTAATAAAGTGGTACCAGGGAGTATTACAGATTTTTTCTTTGGGAAATTCTGGGAGTAACTAGAATACTATGAGGAACTTGAATAAACTGGTTTTCTTAAAGTCACAGACATGATTCACATAATTACCCATAGGTAGTATAATCCACCTAGTATGTTTTAATATCTTCAAAAAGTAGCATATTGCTTCTGAGAATGATGACTGTTTATTGATGGAGAGGATGAAGATTGAAAATTTAATTGCTATAAGAAGTAATTCCTAGAGTTTTATAAATCATCCAGATATTTTGGCTGTAAACATAGTGTCAGACTTTTTTTATTTTTGGCAACATATAGCTTAGAAAGGATCATAGAGAAATCTTTTTGAAGTGTTCACTGAGACAACCAGTAAGTGTTGTTTTCACTAAAGACCTGATAATTCTGTCTCCAGATCCATTCAGTGATCCATTAAGTTCTTACTTAAGCCTAGTAAGTATTTAAGGAGTGAATGTGTGTGTGTTTTAATGGAACTGATTGGTGAAATAGGGTGCATTTTAAAATCATTATATGTTCTTTCTCTTTTACTCTTAATTGAAAGAGTAAAAAGTATAATGAATTTCAGTTTTAAAAAGCTTGTAACATTTGAGATGTAAGCTGATTGTGTCATTCTACATTTGGAAAAATTTGACATTTCATTGTTCCGTTTGTTTTTACCCTTTTTCCTTTCGTCATTTTGCTTGTATAGTTTCATGTTTTCCTGTCAGTATATTCATAGTTGTTATGTGTTGTGCATTAGAAGCATCCATTCTACACCAGTCCTGCTGTTGTTATCATGGCACACGGTGAGCAGCCCATCCCTGGTCTCATCAGTTATTCCCATCATGCAACAGGCAGTGCAGATGAACGGGTAAGACAAGAGGCTTTTGCATTAATGATTTTTGCAAGCATGCAGCCTGCCTTCTCTCTTTGGAGGTAGACTGTATCATATCTTGGAAGATATGTTGTTTAATTCTGATGAATCTTCAACAGTACTATTTTTGTGAAACTATAAGTACCACTGAGTTTATTCTGTCAAGTAATTTAATTTAATAGAGTTTCTCCTGTGCCTGAAGTACTCTGCTATCATTAAGATTCTGTAGCTTTTATCACATGACTTCCAAGAAATACATTGCTCAGAAGTTTTTTCGTTTTTTGTTTTATTTAGCAATTTCATCACATATCTTTAAATAAGTTACCTGGCTTAATTAAGATGACCCCTTAAGGTGATCACTTTAGGTCTTAAAATCTAAATAAATTGGTCAAACTAATGTTTAATTTGTATTAAACTTCCTTATTATCCTCATAATTTTTGAATCTCATTTTCTTTCCCTTCATTGTGTTCTTATTACAACCTTTTAGATAGTTGCGTCTCTCCGCGAATTCTGTGATTTCTAATCTTCAGATAAAAACTTTTAAGGGTAGTATTAGTTCTTTCAGTCGCTGGTTGAATGATAGTTCTAAAAAATTCCCAGGTTAGAGAAGATTAAACTTTAAAGTATAAATCGTTAAGCAGTGATAATTTGGACCATGGCTACAAAAAAATTAATCTGACTGCCTAATATATATGTAAATTGAGCGGATAAAAAGAAGTAATTAAGTAAAGTTTGGCTTTAAATAATTAGGAAGCAATGACACTCAGGATTTAAAAACAAAACTCAGTATCAGTAGTCTCTTGGAAGATAAACAACCAAATGAAGACTTTATCCCTTATATTCGATAAACCATAACTGATTAGAAAGAAACTTAGGTTAGTCAGAGCCCAAGTAGAGAATTTAAATTTTGATTAGTAAAAGCATTAGTGAATTTCGGTTTACAACTAGTAGGTGAATTCTCCAGATATAGCTGTGCTATAAATTATAAACAGTACAATATGGGCCAAATTTGAAGCAGGGCTGTCTTTTTTATTCTTGTCTAAGCAACCCCAGCAACTATAATAATCATTCTGGTTTTCAAACTCAAGTAATTGGAAGTGTCTGTATTCATAACCAAGGTTTTAAATTATTTTATTCTGAATTTCAGGTGAGTATACCGAAAATGATTTGACTCTTCCCCCCGCCCCCCGCCAAGTTCTCCCAAGGATTGACATAACTAGTTGCATTCTAGGAGGGAAGTTAATTTATTACATACAGTGAATGCTCTTAAAACATTAGAGCCCAGTTTTGCAGCCAGTTTGTCAGTCCATCTCATTGAGGGTCTTCCTCTTTTTCACTGACTGTCTACTTTACTAAGCCTGATGTCTTTCTCTAAGGACTGGCCCCTCCTGATAACTAACTTCATTAATGAGCTGCGTTGACTCTGAATTACCTTGTTTTTTATCAGTATTTCAGAAGGTCTGTACATGAGACCAGTATTTGGAATATCCCTATATATTATTTGGCTGGTTTTGATAAGTTTTTCCAATGTAAAATTTAAAATATTAATTTTAGAAGGAAGGTACCTATGGAAGAGAGAAATCACAGTTTCTCTGAGCTGATCACATTCTGAGTCTTCTGTGAAGCAATGTGGAATAATGGAAAAATCATGCAACTTAAAATCAGAAGACCTGGATATAAACTTTAATACTTAATTAAATTTGGGGGAAGGTATTTATGATTTACGCTTCAATTTTCTCATGTCTAAAATGGAAATAATAATAATTACCCTGCATGTCACAAGAGGTTATTTACAGCAAATGAGATAATATATATGGGTAAAAATGTGTAAACTTTGTAAATTTAGAGTTGAATTTTAAAGAATTCTTTCTAGGTGCAAAACACAATACAAAAATGAATAAATTGTTCCAGCCCATAAAATATTGACATTCTAACTAGGGAGCTGTTCTTTTATTACTTTGGTACTTTCCTAACTAAATTATCCATTTTTGTGATCAAGAAAGTAAAGCCTAATCAATGTACTGACTCTTTCATAGTTAGTTATTAGTGATCTGCTTACTAGTTAGTGCCAAACTAATCAATTTGCTATTTTGGGAGATAAGAAAATTTGAGGAATACCTCTTGTAATGGACATTTGTTAGTTACCTCTCCAGCAACCATTTCACCTTACCTCTTCCTAACAGTACACCAGATTTCCAAGTCATACAGTTTGGGTGGGATTGACTAAACCTCCAGGGTAGGCTCTCACTGATTTAATATAATCAGCATATCCATTTTTCCTAGCCAGAGTTACTAGTTCAAGGAACCCATAATTCAGGCCAGTGAGAGCTAGTGGCTCTCATCTCTTAGATTTTATTTAAACTACTAGGGACAAGGGACACAGACTCTGAGGAAATATACAACCTCAAAAATTCCAGCTTGGGAATGCCTGCTAATAATTGAACCAACAGTAAAGAAAAAAACCTAGCAAATGGAAGAGAAAGAGAGATATTGGGTCCTGGACACATAGTTTGAAACAGTTACTCAAGTTCCTGTTGAACTATAGCTACCTCTTGACTTTTCAGTTATGTGAGCTAATAAATTATTTTTTTAAACTAATTAAAGTTGGGTATACTGTCTTATCAAATAGATGAAAAGTCTTCCTTATGGTGATTGAAATATATCAAATAGGAAACCCTGAAGTTTTATATTTGTATGAGAAATAAAACTTGATTCAAAAGGATAGAGAGTTGGGGGGGAATATGACAAGAAGAAGGAAAATAAATCCTGCCCTTCTGCAGTTACAAAATAGGTGTGAAGGTTTTCTCAAGGAGACTGGATCCAAATCTGAAATGACAACTGTGCTTTGCAGCTGCATAGAAACTGATAAATGAAAAAAATCAAATCACAATGACAGTGGAGAAATTTAAGACAGAGGGAAGATACCCATGGAGATACATAATAGGACATCTTGTCTCACTGAGAAATTAAATTTTCTGGAGAACAAGTCCAGATTAATTATGATCCTCAAGCTCTAGTGGATGCAAGAAAATCTCTTGTTAGCCCTGGAAAGAAGAGTTGGTGATTTCCTCTTGATAAAGGTTATGGAGAAAATAGTATGTCAGACCCCCATGACCATTCAGGAAGAATCTTCTGGAGCATTTATTTGGAAACTTGAGAGAGCAAGTGCTAAGAGTTAGCAGCCTGCCACTCCTATAGACTTATCTGCAAAGAAATGACACCATTACAAAAGACCAGAGACACAAAGTAAATTTTGATCAGAAAATTGAAGAACATGTAAGCAAATATATATGGTTTTATTGTTTCTTTCTATCCATGAGGATTTTGGTGTATTAAAATAGTAGCTGATTATTGAATGTCAGTCATTCTTCTAAACATTTTACATATATCAGCTGTTTCATACTTCATTTTACCTATGAGAAATTTGAAGCTCAGAAAGGTTAAGGACATATAACTAGCTAGACTGAACTGGTATTCAAGTCCAGGCAGTTTGGCTCTGGAATCAGCACTCTTGACCATTATGCTATATCACCTCTCAGTGCAAGAGAAAAAAAGAGAGTAAAGGTCTGGAAGGTAACTAGCTAGTTAAAAAAAAGTCTTCTTAAGAATGAGAATCGTGATTTTTGGACCTTGGTTTGAAATACTTGAATGATAAGTTGCAGTGCACAGCTTAAGAATTTTAAACAATAGAATGTGTTTACTCTGAAAGTTTACTGATCTGAGCAAAAAAAAGCTTTAAGCTGTAAGCAGCAGTGGAGTGAGAAAAATATTTAGAAAAACTCATGAAACCAAAAGCTTTGGAGGACATACAGCATGGTATGTGTTAAAAGATAATGTTTTTTAAAAGTAGAGTTATGACACTCATAGAAATATAAAATACCGTAAGTCTGTGTGAAAGATTTTATTTAACTTATTAATTAGTGAGAGAACCAGTAAACTGTTAAAACCAAAAGGAGAATTCAGAGGATACACATGGGTAGCAAGTCTCAGCCTTGCATGTAGTAAGGAAGGTAACTTATATGTGGTAAAGAAATTTTGGTAACCTAGAGAAGAAGAGAAACTCACCCAAATGACGGGTACTGTAGGTACAGTATGGTGGAGTTTCTTAGACTGGGTCTCCTAATCTTGGGAATGACAAAATTAAAGACATTTAAAAGTAGAATCTGAGATCCCCTTTGAAAACTTCCAGACAGAAGTTAGGTCTGTGGCTTTAGTATTTGCAAAGCAAACTCATCTATCGTCAGTCACAATGCTAGCATGAATTTATAGAGATAGAAAACTTGGTCAGTATACACAGGGAAATAATCAATTACTTCTTCTCAGGACAACATATATTTGCATTCTTATGGACAAGAACCACTGCATTAATATCAGTTTTCTAAAACTTGCAGAGCTGTAAAATAGTAAAAGTATAAATTAATGAAATGTGCAGATAATCCAGACAGACATACAAGTCAGAGCATTCTAACAGTCTTTTTGCCAATTTTCCTGAAAGCCCCTCACCCCCCTGAGATCATCATAATCTCAAAGATTATTTTTGATCATAAAAAAAATGACTAGTCTCATTAGGTTTGGCTCGATTATTTGTGCATCAAGAGTATTAATTAACCACATAGAAAACCTTCAGTTTGCTTTGCAAATACTAAGGCTGCGGAATTAACTTCTGTCTGGAAGTTTTCATAGGGAATCTCACATTCTACTTCTAAAAGTCTTTAATTTTGTCATTCCCAAGATTAGGGAACCAACTCCAAGAAACTACTATATATCGCACCTGCAGTACCTGACATTTGGGTGAGTTTCTCTCTTCTCCAGGTTACCAAAATTTCTTTACCACATATAAGTTACCTTCCTTACCACATGCAAGGCTGAGACCTGCTACTCAAATACCAGATCAGTTTTCCTGGGAGGGCTTTGTAGACACTGGCTTCGTAAGTACAGCCGATTTTTGTCTTCAGAAGTGGCAGCCATATCTGATTATATGGGCTCCATTTTCAAA